GAGACAAAAAAGACCCATATGTGATATATGCATAATAGGTGTGACAAAAGGGACCCTAAGGAGGCAAAATGGACATCTATGTAGTTCAATGACGATAATGTCGGGTTTACCTGAGCTCTATTGAACATTATTTAAGCCCGTGAGACATAATTAAGGGAGAAATGATCCAGAAGGATGAACCCCCTTAGGTGATGCCCTAGATGCATTTAAAAGCCAAAGCTTAAAGACTCATAGGCTGAGTCTGTAAAAGAAAATTATAATTGTGTTGCATAAGATAGGCAACTCAGTTGTTAATTATAATTGTAATAATTTGACTTTACGCTTTACTTTCCTTCTTTAGTTGATTAATTAATTTTTTAGATTTTTTTAATAATTAAATTCAATTAATGCATTTAAAAATTACAAAATAACTTGTCTCATTTATTAATTAAATAATGAATTTTAAAATAAAATTAAAATTAATTCATTTAAATACCAATTTAATTAAATTCAAATAGAAATTTTAATTTAATTGAATTACCAAACTATTTAAAAATAACTTCAAAATAATCAAATTCTTTTAATTAATTGAATAATGAATTAATGAAATTAAAGCCTTATTTAAAAATTTGTAATTAAACTCATTAATTAATTTTAAAAAACTTTAAAATACATTTAATAAATTGAGCAATTTAATAATATTCAAAATAAATTTAAAATCCAACTTATTTTAATTTCAATTAATTATTTAGTTTATTAACTGATTTAAAATTCATTTAATTAATTAGTCAAATAAAATGCAATAAAAAAGTGTATTTCTACTAATCAATCATAAGTACAACACATACCAACTAACACCAAACTCCTAAAACTAAATAAAAAAAATCTCAAACACCAAACCAAATGCTAAGAGACAGAATTTTCAAACACCAAACAAAACACTAACAAACATTAAAATAACTCTCAAACACCAAACTAAACACTAACAAACAATAAAATAACTCTCAAGCCAAACAAAACAACTTACAAAACCCTCAAACAAAAAATATGCAAAACACAAACTCCAAAGGAGAGCAGAAGACCCACTATAAAACAAAATTATGTGCAACTTCTAAAAGAAGTCGTAAGACCTATCCAAACCAAACAAACGAGTTGCTTAACCTATAGGGCTAGGTTGTAAGACCCACCATTAAGCTACTTTTAAATCTAGAAGCTATAAGGCCTACCAAAACATCCAAGCATCTTCCAAAAGAAGTTGTAAGACCTGCTATTCGGGTTACTTTCAATGACAGCCGTAAGACCCACTTCTAAAATAATTGGGCTACTTCTAATGGAAATAGCAAGCCCCATACCAATTTAATTAATCATATAACTTCTAAATGAAATTATAAATCCCAAATTAAATTAATTACTGGGTATTCTTACAGATGTAAGCCCTAAACCACAATAACATTACAACCTTTAAACCACTTCAGTTTATTCAGAATCTCTAAACAAAGGCAACTCATGACTGCTAATCAGATTCCCTGGATGCTATGATCAACGATCATTAGTGTTGGTAAATTGAAACCTACGGTATACCCGTGATGACAGAACTATGAGATCTTGATCATGTCTATCTTCATCCCCCTCAATTGAAACTAAAACACCTAAAATTTTTCATCCTTAATCGAGAGTTCTCTCCTGTGCATTAGGAGAGGTAATTAACTATGACTGCTTGCGCTCATAGAAAGTAAGGATCAAGATCTAAATAAACCCTGATACTACCCTCAGGGAAAATCTGGTTAACTACAATTTGCCTTAAGGAGAATGGAATCTTAAGTCCGTAAAGTGGGATTCATGCCGACGCGTAATTTTTCTTGAGCCAACAAATATGATTCAAAGTTGAACACATCACCCTTAAAATTTCCTAAAATTAAATCCTTGAACAATAACTTTTCAAGGTTTAAAATGAAAATATTAACCAATGTTTTGATGACTATATAGAAACCACTAGTTTAATAAAAAATATTCTCAAGTAATAAACGCTTGAGATTTAATTAACTATAGGAGTCAGCGCTATGGGGTATGCATACCCCATAATAAAATAAACCATATTCAACCAAATATTGAATAGGGGGAAGTTTATGTTAAAACATAAAGTTATGAGTTTTGTTGTTGAGTTCACAGGGAAATAATATTTTAATCATTCGGGATAATATATTATTTTCTATGTTGTGCTCGATCGTAAAATATTTCAATCCGTTGAGGATGAAAAAATTTCTCCAACAATATATATCTATTAGCTTTTTGTTTGTTACATGCATAAGAAAAAGATAGGTGCCCTTGAAGCTTTGTAAAAATATCAACCACTTGTTTTGATCTAGAGACATGAGTAATCGTTTTCTCGGAAAGCATCGCATCCCGTGTGTAATATTGATCTACCTTAAAATGTTTAGCTCATTTGTGAAAAATAGGATCACAATGCATAATCGTAGATTAAGTAATAAGAAACCAAACTCTCCTAAAATTGTTTTAATCCTCATCATCTTAAATGCAAAATGAGCCATAACGTCATATTATGCTTCAACGCTTGACCTAACTACAACACTCTGTTTCTTGCTTTCCCAAGTGACTAGGTTTCCCCCACAAAAATATAGTATCCATAAGTCAACTTCATGTCTTTTATTTATCTAGCATGTTGGATATTGAAAAAAATTCAAATTCTCAAAATTAGTATAAGTATCACTTCCCTAAAACTTTTTTGATATATTTGAAGATTCTTAGAATTTCTTTCCAATGCTTCTTCTTAGAATTTTGCTTGTGTTGATTGACTAATTCAACAACAAATAAGATGTTAGATCTGGTAATATTATCAAATAAGTCAAATTTTTATCTAAGCTTCACTATTCAGATGCATCATCAAGAAGTTCATCTTCATTAGATGTGATATGAGTTTCCATAGGAGTATTAACATGTTTACAACCAAGTAAGCCTGTTTCTTCAAGAAGATCAATAACATTTTTTCTTGTGGAGTGATATTCTTCTTTTTTAGATTTAAATGAGAATTCGACTCTTAACATAACACAGTGGAGAAAAAAGATTCATATAGCTAACCTCATGTAGTGGGATAAAGACTTAATGCTGTTGTTGTTAGTGATATTCCTCTTTAAATAAGCATATTGAGTTCCAAAAAAAGTATTTGGGCCATCCTACATCTTCGAGACAACATTTTCTACAAATACTATTTACTTTAGAGATGTCATGATGGTCAGTTATAGCAAGTATAATGTCTTCAGTAGAAATTAATAGCATAATGGATTCTGCTGGAGCTATAGAGTGATTTGAGGCGTTGCTACAAAGACCCATCTCAGTAAAAAACTTCACAAAGTTTGTCAAATTAGGCCCTGCTTAAGAAGGCATATATGGTTTTGCTTATGAGCAACATATCTGAGATGTTGTTTCATATAAATAACTTTGTGCAAGTCATTATAAAGGAGGACATTATTGTCATTCATTTGAAGCATATGCCAACCTTGATTGATAGCCATAGATAAGGATTTAGATTTAGTTTAGGTGAGCATCAGGGAAGAATATGTCAAAATAGTCGATCCCATGGATAAGCAACTAACCGAGCTTTGTCAAGAAAGTCATTATGGTGAAATTTGACAATGAACACCCATCAACAGTTGACAGGTTTAACTCTAGGAGCAGGGACAATTAGATTCATGGTATAATGATTGAGGAAATCATTCATTTCGATATCAATAGCCTATTTGCATGAGGGATATTGCATCACATCATGATATGTCCTATGAATGTAATAGAAAAGCAATATAAGGCAAATGTAAGAATTGAAGTAAATAATTGATCAAATGGAATATAGTAGTGAATAGAATGAACAATATGTTGTCTTTTACCTTGCCAGAGAGCAATAGGAAGATGGAGTTTTGAGGTGTCATCAGTTGGTGGTTAGTTGAATTCAACAATGTGGTGGTAGGTGCTAGCATATACCTATAAAGGATGAAAGGTAGGTAGAGGAGTGTCCTATTGAAAAGGAACTAGTGTTGAGGAGGGTTTAGGGGTGGAAGAGGGTGAGAAAATGTGGAAGTCTCATGGAAGTTTGATGTAGACAAGGAATATAGGGGACCCTATATTTCTTGAACACAAAAGACACACAAGAAGAACACTGACAAAATGAGTAGAACTTAAAACAAACTTTGTTAAATAAACTCAAATGACCCAAAACTTGACAAACACAACAAAAGATGCTAGGAGATTTTAAAGAAATAAAGAAACTTAAAAAGACGCTATCCTCAGACAACCGTCAGAGCGGGTTCACTTAGGGAACAAGCTCAGGACCGAATGCTCCAAAACAGCCAACCCGAGAACCACCAGCGGCCAGGGACCAATCGAGCCAGCAAACCAAAGGTCTACCAAGTCATATGCACTACCTACCATGATCATTGGATGCTTTCCCATCATTGGATAGCTAAAAAAAAGAAAATAAAATAAAATAGAAAACAAAATATACTATTGTTCTAACAAAATAAAAAGTACAGAATTCTTGATTTCATCAAAGTTTATATTGGCGGAAGTATACATATATATTGTATGCATTAAATTTCTATAGAAATATTTACTTATATATTCATGAAATCTGGTAATATCACTTTTCAATTGTGGGTATTAAAGCAGATCTCATCATGGATTTTTCCATGATTTTGTTACTTTTCTTAGTTTATATTTCATCATAACCTTGTTGTGTGTTTTTGGGCCTCACTATCCAAGCACATTTGTTTTCCGTAGTTCTTCCCCATAGGGTTTTTTGCAATGCAATGCTCGTTGCTTGCAAACTGTATGTTCTATCACGCTCTCCTTGCAGACTAAATCGATGTAACTGAAAATTTAAACTCAAAATCAAGATTCTATCTGATAAATTCAGTGCTATTAGGAAATGTTTGTTCAGCCTACATTGGCACATTCCTTCTGTAGATTCATATATATATTTGACACTGACCGTTCTTTGTATGACATTGCAGGCTGCGTTGAAGACAATAAGTGAAGAAGACAAGTACTTCTGTAGGGTGTTGCTGAGGTTGGGTATATTATATTAGTAATATTTTTGATCTTGTGATTAACAGCATTTAATTTAATATGAATTTTTGTATAAAATAAATCTTGACATACTTTGAACCTATTCTCGTCTACAGAATTCCTTCCATTGGAATTGGTATGACGAGCTCTGAAATGAATTTACAAAAAATGAAGGTTGATGTCAACCGAGGAGCTTCTTTGCAAGGAGTAACTTCATCAGGGTTTTCCGTAGATGGTTGGGATGGAATTGCTCTGGAGTATTCTGTTGACTGGCCCTTACAGCTGTTCTTTACTCCAGAAGTCCTTTCTAAGTATGTTTTTGAAAGCGTTATTTATATTATATAGTTGATATGATTCTTCATGGAGAAGAATCAATACTTTCAGAAGAACCAATTTAAGTAATCTATTTTATTCAAAAGTAAAGCAGTTAATTTAATGCAGGTACCTTAAAGTTTTCCAGTATTTGATCAGACTTAAGCGAACACAAATGGAACTGGAAAAATCATGGGCTGGTGCAATGCATCAGGACCATGCTGATTTTGCCAACCATAGAAGAGAGAAAAAGAATTGCTTTCCATCTCAACATCGTCGAATACGACCCAGACCAATGTGGCAAGTTAGAGAGCATATGACTTTTTTGATCAGAAACCTTCAGTTTTATATCCAGGTTATTTGGCATACATCCATTTAGTAATGTATTTATGTACTAATACCTATGATCTAAGAAATTGTAAATTACTGCCAATTTATTTATAGTTATTAATTCCATGCGTAGGCTATAAATTTTGGTAGTGACGTCTGTCCAAAGTTTTTCCCAATTTTTTGGGGCAATATCACTTGACAGAATAACTATTTCTTCAAATGCTTGTGCAAAAGACAATTTTGTATGCAACAAATAATAAATTAAAACATCCAAGATATACTTAGAACGTGCCAGATAAGGCATTTTTGCATAAGTTTCACCACAAAAGATAAGCTTCCATATGAATCTATAGAAATTTGTTACTTCAAACTTAAAACCAGTCTCTTTGTTAAGAATCTAGGTCGGTTTCCAGAAATAATGCTCCCTTTTTCAAGAATCTGAGAGGTTAAACTCCAACACCGAGGCCAGGTTGCCTAACTTTAACTACATTAGTTCTAACCGTGCCATCCGGTTATGGAAACATATAATACTGGCAGCTCCTCCTTCATTCATGCTGCTACTATTAGTTCCATTTCTTTTGTTTATCCTGAATGATTTTCTGAGTTGTATGTTTTGCTGGTAACCTAATATATCATTTGAGTGCATCCTTTTACAGGTTGATGTCATTGAGTCTCAGTGGAACTTATTACAAGCTCATGTGCAGACTTCCAATGATTTTACTGAACTTGTGAGCTTCCACCAAGGGTATGTATTCAATAAAATAAAATATATTAGGTCTAATTTCAAAATAGGCATTTTTTATAATAATATGAAATCGATGCCTTATGCTGTTTAATGTGCAAAATTATGAAGTATATTATATCTTGATCCCAGAAAGTGTAGTCGAGTTATTTATGGAGACAATGCATATAAAGGTAAAGTATTTGATCCACATTATATGTATTGAGATTTACAAAATCATGGGAATCTCAGAGTGATTTGATTAATTAATCTTTTTCAAAGGCTTAAGAGGATGCTTAATGATGAGAAGCATTTTGATGCATTTTGATGCAAGTAATTAAAACTTCCAAAGTGATTTAAATGCAAAGTACAATTAACAAAATCCCACGATTAACAATGAGAGGTTCACCTCAAGGGCCGTCTCACTCAATTATTATTAGGCTTTTAGCGGAGAAAGAAGACCCATACGATGAAAGATATTACCACTAGAGAAATGGTGCTGAAGAACTTCGTTGGTGGAGAGGTAACCGGTGGAGATGGAGGTGGTGGATGGCCGACGATGCTCCAATTGTAGTCGGGACGTCGACGGGTGAGGACGTGCACGATATCTGGGACAACTCGATCCAAATAGTCTCCAATGGTGGCGTCATCTTCAAATCCTACGTCGAAGTATGGAGATTGTAAAATGTCGAGATTTCTGTTGGCATCGAACACGAGTCCCCACTCAAATTCGGGATCCGCCATTCGACATTGAAATGGAGAGGGGAGGCGTCGTCGTCTCCTTTCCTTGGCTTCTCAATTCACAAGAGAAGCAAGATGGGGGCGGCGGGAGCAAGAGGAAGAGGGGAGGCCGGCGGGTGCAAGGGGAAAGGCTAGGGTTGGAGAAAAAGTGTTTAGGGAATTATGGAGGGGATTAATCAAAACTGAAATTTAATTTTAGTTTTGAGTAATTTGGGAGGGAATTGACTTGAAATTTGAATTTCAAATCAAATGAAATTAAAGCCTTAATTGGGAATTAATGGGGAGCTAAAGAGGGGAGGGGGGGGGGGGGGGCCTCGGGTTTTAAAAAGGGGAGCGGTTTCAATAGAGGAGAGGGAGGAGTTTTAACAAATCCTGAAATAAATTTAGGATTTGAAATTTGGGAGGGAGTTTTATTTGAAATTAATTTTAATTTCAAATGGGTGAGGGATTAATGGGGCAATTAAAGAGGGGGAGCCTAGTGAGGCCGACGGCATCAAGAGGGAGAGGGAAATGGGTGGAAGCAATTTACAAACTTTCCAAATTTGCTTGTTTGCATGAGGAGGTTTGATTATGAAATCCACATCGATTCAAATTTCGAAATGATTTGAATTTGAAAACTTTCCATATTTGGCTTTGACAAATTCGGAAATTTTCAACTCAAATAATTTTGAATTTTCAAAATTCGAACAAGTGGGGAGTGGGGAAGAGGGCCGGCGGTGGAGGAGGTGGGGTGGTCGGCGGCCAAGAGGGGTTAGGGTTGGCGGGTTGGGAAAAGGCGAGGATCGGATGATGGGGATAGACCACGAGTCACGGACTCTTCCAATGACTGGCGGGTATTGCTTTTCGCCCTCACCTTGGGCTCTTGTTCTCCTCTCTAACTCTCCACAAGAAGAAGAAGAAAAAGATAACCAAAACAAATTTCATTCAAAATATTCGTTAACCTCAATACAACACATGAGACCACTATATAGGTCTCAACTCAAAAAAAAGAGAAAATACGAAATTGCCCTCTGGGCTACAATAACAAAGTAACACCCCACAGGGGTAAAAATGGAAAGACTGCAAATGAAATAAAATAAAATGAAAATATCTCATGACATCTGAATCAAAAGTAGAGGCGCTGAATCGTGGCCGTCGATCTGCGGTTTCGCCGGCGATAAACATGTTGGTAGCGTCTTTCAATGTCCTCATCAATAACCCTAATCATCCAGTATATTTTCTCTACTTCAATCTTCATGTACTTGCTAGCTCTTTTTTTACACCATACAAAATTCTCTCTCTCCATTCCCTTGGACATTATCCTTCAATTTTCAGTTTTGATTGAGTTTTTGGGCTTAGAAAATTTCACGCTCTGGCTTTGCTGAGAGAATTTTGGTGTTTATGAGTCAAATTTTAAGAAGATAGAATATATTGTAGATAAGCCATTACTAAGAGTTTTTTCCTGCATTTTACAAGGACTTGATGATCTAGTTTCTTGTTTCCCATAGGCACAAACCCTTATAGTTATTCAACCCTCCTGCTAATTGGAGAGATTTTTCGATTAAGACTAGTAGTTAGAAGCTAAATGCCTAGCCTACAATAGCAGCAATTTAATTCAAGGGTCGAACTTAAGTTGATTGTAGGAGTGATGATGAACCTGATTAAGATCTCATAATTGTGTTGTGCAAGTTATCATGGAACCTAGTCTAATTAGTCAGCAGATGTAGTCGACTCAATCTGATCGAAATATTATTCTCAACAACCATGACTTTCTTTGTCCAAGGGAAACTTGTAGAATTGATGTGGTGGTTTGTTTAAGGGTATAAATTTAAGTTGATCTTAGCTAACAAAGGACTTTATGCTATATTAAGTGCACCATATATTTTATTACTCAAAGGCTTTTTTAAACCATAGGCGAACTTGTGGGTTTTGATCGTGACCATAATTTTAGTCATTTTTATCGAAATTGTCTGATTAGATGGACCTAATCCATTTGACAATGAAACCACTAGCTAAAAGCAGGGGCGGAGTCATAAATTTTCATCAGTGGGGGCACAAATTGATCAATATTAATACAGTCCTAATATTTTTTAGTAGTTTTTTTATCTTTCTATTTAACAGTTATAGTAAAATAATACTTTTATATTTTAAAAATATTAATATTTGTTTTTAATAAAATTTAAAATTCTATATTCTATTAGTTGATACACATAAATTATAATTATCTTATTTCATTTAAATATTTAGCTGCTAATTTTATGAAAAATAAAATTTCTAATATATGTATATTTTTTTTCTTTATAAATGTATGCATATTAATTTTTAATGCTAAAACATTCGGCATATTTTAATAAAATTATTGATTGCTAATTTATATCATATATAAAAAATTTGCATTAAAATTTCTCATTTATTTTTGTTGAATTTAATAATAACTTAATTAAAAAATACAAAACAACACAGTAGCCATTTGATAATATTAACAAAACGCTTTAAAACTTTTAGAAAGATAATAGATGTATTTATGCCAACTATTCATTTCGGTATCCTATTTTTATGGCAGCAACAAGTTCATTTTAACCTGTCTTGTCTATTTTAAATATGAAGGGCATTCCAGTCATTTAACTTCTTCAATCCTTGCCTTCTCGGTCTATGTAAAGCTAATGTTAAGAAGAGAGAGAGAGAGAGAGAGAGAGAGAGAGAGAGAGAGAGAGAGAGAGAGAGAGCAAGCGAGTGACAAATGGAGGATGGTGGATTGCCGAAGATGATAATAACGGAGAAGAGGGGTAGCAGAAAAGAAGAAGAAGATGATAGTGGAGAGTGGGAAGAGATGGGACTTGGGCAACTGGGCGGTTTATCTACAGATATGTATCACTTTTTTATACAAATAAAAATATCATAATTTAAAATGAACTAAAAAAAAAATTCAGGCCAGTGGGGTCACGTGCCCCCAGTGCCCCCATTGTGGCTCCGCCACTGGCTAAAAGACACATGCTCAACCTTACTGACAAGAGATAATTTAAGAATGAATTATTGAAGTACTCAGAAATTTATCACCCTTGACAAACAGTTGCAGATGATGAATAAATTTTGTTTTAGGTTTTAGGGTTCAGTTTGATTAATTTTGATTTTACAAACACTGATTTTTTAAAAGATTTTTATCATAATTTAAGCCATAATTAATTAGCTTTGCAGGCATTTTGAAAGTAAGGCCCTCTTTGATTGAAATTTCAACCTCATTTGGGTTTCTGTACACTTTCTTTTTTATTACTTTCAACCTTGCCAACTCTCCCAATTTGCTCGCAAAAGATCTGGTCATATTTAAGTTCACTTTTATTATAGCACACACATCATTCCCAGGCCTCAAATTTAGGAGCTTGATGCATTTTATTAGAGCACATGTGAGTATTTTGACTTTAAAAATTTCACAAATTTTAAAATGATTGCATGCTCTTTAGAGCAATTGCACACTTTTCAAAACAAGAGGATTATAGCTGAATTTGTTCTTTAGCCCCCACAATATTCTCATAATTTATACTTGAATATTTAGCAAGCTTATTGGAGCGCACATCGGTGTATCTAATTTTGAAGAAGGGATTTGAAAATTTTCAAATGATTATTAAGTTTGTAAAGCAATCGTACAGGAAGAAGTCTTTTTCTGCCTGGATGTTGATTAAAACATAATGCCTCAACTAGCTAAATTGACTTATTTTACTCAATTCTTCTTGTTATGCCTTCTCTTTTTTACCTTTTCTATTTTGATATGCAATGATGGAGATAGAATACTTGAGATTAGTAAAATTCTCAAACTACGAAACCAACTGCTTTTGCACTGGGGGAACAAGATCCGGAGTAATGACCCTAACAGTTTGGAAGATATTCGAGAAAAGGTTTTAGCACCAATGTCTCCTATATATACTCTAGTTTCTTTGACGTATCCCAATGGTGTCAAACCGTCGACTTATTGTGAAAAATGCTATGAATCACTTTGATATCTTGTTTCATAGAAATAAGTGGCTCACGAGGAATTTAAATGAACATTCTCTATTAGATCTTGAAGTACTCATGTAACACGTCTTCCAGTCGGATCACTTGTAGGAATGAAATAATGCTCATCCATGTTCCACACAACCAAGGAAGCATCTTTTTTCGAGGGTAGTAAGAAAAGAAATAATCTGAAAGAAAAACTTTCAAAATTTTGTAATGGGTTAGACTTAATTTAGTTAAACTGTTTTTTAGCCCATGAAGTATTCTCAGACTTTATGCTTTAACATTTAGTACGTTTGTGTGAGCACATGAAGGTAAAATTATTTATATGATTTGATACGTTATGCATGCTTTTTGATTTTTTTTTTTTACATTTTTAGTGTTTGCTCATCATTTGCACACTTTTTTGGTGCGTTTATGATGAGGACATCCGACCGCAAAAATTTTTCAGAGGAGCTGAAGATTGACGGCCATGAATGTCCACTTTATTTTGAGTTATTATTTGTATTTTGATTTATTTATGCCTTTTTTCGTTTTACCCTCACTTGAGGGCGTAGGCCTTGTGACCCTAGGGGCACTTTTGTCATTTGTCTTATTATTGTATTTTGGCTATTTATAACCACCTCTTCTTTTTGAGAGGATGGATGATTATTCTGAAATTTCTGCACTTTTGTTCCTTTGTGAGCTTTGAGAGTTCTTGTGAGAACCTTGGTGAAGTCCCTAAGTGAGGGCAACACATTATCCATTAGTCGCAGAAAGCATCTAGGCTCGTGGTTCTCTTCCCTCCCTTCCCCTAGCCGCTAGTCTCCCTCACCTCCTCCAAGTCGCCGGCACCCATCTTCCCCTCTCCCTCTCGGTCAAACCTTAACCCCCAAAACCTCGGCCTGCCACCTTCTCCCTCCACCCTACAAGCCGCCAGTCCCATCTCTCCCTTTTCCCTTGGCTGAAACTCCCTCCACCTCCAAACCCTAGCCTGCCCCAAGTCCCCTCCCTTCCTCCATCTCTAACCCTAGCCCCACCGCCCATCATCCCTCCCCTTGGCTCCAAAATTCAAAATCTAGCATTCAAATCCTTTCCTAAATTAGCTTCCTTTAATTTTAGAAACTATTTAAACTCATATTCAATTGAATTTGAATTTGAACTTTATTTCCTCAACAAGGAAACCTATTTTAGGAAGGCCACTCAAATCATGCAAATCTGAATTTCAAATAGGAATTAACTTAATCCTTCTTTCCTAATTTAAAATTTCAAATCTATTAACTAATAACTCCTCCAATTAAAAATAACAAATTATGTTTGGCAAGCTTTAAGTGTCCTAAATCAAACCCCTAATCAAACTAGACGCTCCTTCCTCCTTCTCTTTCCCTTGTGGGCCTTCCAAATTAATTCCCCAACCAATCTCTCCACTAAAATTTCATATTTTGGGAGGATTTCAACCACACAAGGTGGCTGTCCAGAAATTTCAGCAAGTTCCCCTTACTGTCCGAAAGGTCCCCGTTTGCGCTCTAGAAATTTCAGCACCTTGTAATTTGTTGTACTCTCATGTATGGCTGATCCAGAACACAACCACGACTTTGTTTTCGACGATCAAGGGTTGATTGACGTCCTCCGGTCTTCGTTCTTCGACATCGACTTTGAGAATGACTATTCTGAATGTTAATTTAGGGGTTTCTGTTGAAAGCCCCACATTATATAAAATCTGATTTGATCGGCTATTTTTGTGTTCTAAATCTTTATTGTGTAATCTATTGCTTGATCTAAATCATTGCTTTATTGTTTTCAATCACGTTTAAATCAAGGAAGTTGACTAATTGCTCTAGCTCTTTCAAAGGCATATAAATTCAAAATGCAAAACATCAACATATGCATTTAGTCCTACATCAGTTTATATTGTGTATTTGCAAGTTTTAATGTATATATGAACTTTTTCGTGCTTTTGTATGGTTCATTTCACAGTACACTTGTGCACTTTTCAATGTACTTTTGCACTTTATGATGCTCATGCATGATGCACTTGCACCCTTTTTGGTGCATTTGATTGGTGTACTTGCACATTGTTTAATGATTTGCTTGCTTTTTGATGCTTCTATATAATGCTCTTGCACACTTTTCGGTACATTTGTACTGTGTACTTGCATGCTCTTTGATATTCTTGCATATTTCTGACGTGCCTACATGATGCACTTTCATGATTTGGTGCATTTTCACAAGTGTATTTGCTCACTTTTTTATGTATTTGCACGTTTTTTGAATTGTGGCGCAAACTCATAAGCAGTTGCATGCTTCTTGAGGCGGTTGCATATTTCTTGAGGCAATTGTATGTGCTTTTCTCTAGGCAACTATACATTTCTTGAGGGAATGACTCACCTTTTTGTGCATGCTTCACTTAAATTTGAAAGTTATGCTATGTTAAGTGAGTGATATTTTATTTTTTGTGCTAGCGCTTGTTTTTGAAAGACGTGCAATATTTCAAATACGCCTTATGCTTTTAGTTCGTTTGCGTGTATGTTGCGGATCCAGTGGTTTTGTGAATGCTTCACTTAAATTTGAAAGTTATGCTATGTTAAGTGAGTGATATAAAAAAAAATGAGTGATATTTTATTTTTTGTGCTCGCGCTTGTTTTTGAAAGACGTGCAATATTTCAAATACGCCTTATGCTTTTAGTTCGTTTGCGTGTATGTTGCGGATCCAGTGGCATGGAAGGTATATTGGAATCTTTTGGGTACTTTTAAGTACATCAGGGAGTGATTTTTTTTGTCTTTATATGGTTGTGTTTTGGTAAGGTTAGCCTCGCAAAAAATCATTCTCAAATTATAAATAGAGAAGGCGTAGTAGTTCATTTTAATCATCTCAAGTTTAGAGTATAGTAGAATAAAATTTTTGGGAGTAACTTCTTAAATAGTATGACATCAGGCAAGGAATATTTGCTTCTACTTCAACTGCAACGTTGTTTACTTTAAAAAATTGAAGAATATCAATTTGCTTTCCAAGGTTTTTATCTATTGGAGTGAAGCTACGTGAAAAACATGACTTCAATTCTGAAGTATATGCTTTTAAGCTCCTCCCCAAAATTTTTTTGCATCATGCAGGGCTATGTTTGGTCTTTCTATAAACTGCAATCTTGTCTAAGTTAATACGATTCTCCAACACTTATGAAAATGCTTTGCTGAATTATATTGATAGCTGTGTAGGGGAATGCATTTGTTGATCTTGTTTTCTTAATACAAATCTTTCTATAGAGGGGCAGATTTTGTAGGGATGTTTCTTGACATGTGATTTACCACGGACCACCTCAAAGAACTCTTTCAAGCAAACTTTCAGGCATAACTCATGACATCTATTTTTCTCCAGCCATCTATTAATAAAAACTTCGGGAGGTGTTTGTTTTCCTCCTATGTTTTTCTGAACAACCTTGTGCTTGAAATGTAGTTCATGTGTTCTTTTTGCTGATTCAAAATTCTATTGCACTTTAAGAAACATCCTACGGCTTTGATTGTGCTTTCAGTCTTACTCATATGTTTGATTACTAGGTACTCTAATGTGCTTTTCAGGGGTACTCTATAGATAAGATCAAATTTAATAATTTGTTAGATAGCTACACTGTATTATTTATATGCCTTTGAATTCCATTTGCAGATATTTATCGGCTTTGATATCTCAGTCCTTCCTGGATATTGGGTCTGTATCTAGGATTCTGGACAGCATTATGAAACTTTGCTTACAATTCTGCTGGAACATTGAGCAGTATGAAATTAATCCAAATCTCTCTGAATTGGAACAGATCACCGAGGTATTGTCTTGCTGCTTGTATTTTACATGGTTGTTGTCATAGTGGATATTATGACTAAATTTTACAATTTATTTGGTTAGGTGTTATTTGTCTGGTCAATAAATTCATCTAGTGTTAAATTATCCCCTATTGTTGCAGGTTCAGAATTTTCACCTGTGAAATTAACGGCCCTTTAACCAAATACACCGTTTCAACTTTAATTACATTAGTTTGTTTTTATTGCATCTCTGAGTTCACATTTGGTGCAATGTTTGTTTTCTGTTTGTGCGTTGTATTATTAACAGGCTAGGCAAAACTTTAGTCTTCGTAATTTTCCTCAAATGCACATGTTTTGGCTGCTCATGTGATTCGCAAGTCCACACTATCAAACATGTCGACAAGAAAGATTGATTGATGTAACTCTAGAAAAGCTCAACTGGTAACATCCTAAATTTGTCACTCATTTCACTGAACAAATTGTTCTAATGCTCTGGACTGTCGTAATGAACTGCATAGCCCCTCTTATAAATTGAGTTGTTGTGCAAGGAGAGGACAAAAGTTTGCTACGCATGAGAATTTGCAAGAGAGTGCTCACAAATAATCTAAAAAAAAAAAACAATAAATAATTATACAAATTTATAATAATAAATAAATACTTATATATATATATATATATTACTTACCCGTGATTCTCCTAAAAAAATTTTGAAGGATCCCAATGCTGCTTGAAAAATCTTTCCAACTTTATAGTGGAGCTTCTTTCACTTCGTGTAATTAATCAGTTTGTTATTGCGAATTAAGTAGTTGATGACTACAATTCAGTTAATTGGTGTTCACCTTGTCCTATTAGTATCACAGGCAGACGTTCGTATTGCTGTTGTAATTATGCAGGCATTTGTCTATCATTGTTCTACAACATTAAGAGAGCTGATGTTTTAATTACATATTTATTATCTTTGCTATTGTAATCTTGTTTTTGTCTCTCGCTGGAGCTTGTCAGCCTCATCCTTTACTGGACCCTTTGATTTGCTTCTTGTTATAGTCAACTTGCTCTCCTGCTGTAAATGACTTTGAGTTTATTGATGAGGGTTGGCACGAGGCTATTTGCGGCATTTATGTTACATTCTACATTTCTTATGTGATTTGTGGGTTCCTCAATGTGATTAACTATAACTATTGCTGTCCTTTCATTAATTTGTCAATACTTTTATTTGTTCAACATCAAAATATTTTTATAATATATTACTTTAGAAGAGTAGAAAAGTAGAAAAAAATTACTTTGAATTTTAATACTTGATTTTGTATAAAATGTGAGTATTTTTAGACTAATCCAAAAAAACTTACAATGGAAATAAATCTAAGCTATTTGCAAACATATAAAAAAGTATCCAAGATGGGCTAACAGCTAGAATAGGAAGAGTAACATTAGTTGTAATTTAAGGGTCATAAGAGGATCAATTCAGCTGTTAGAACCTTTAATCCGTGTGCTCAAACATCTCTGCCAAGATCATTTTACTTGTGTGTCCTACGATCTTTCGAGTGTAAATATTTTATTCCAAGTTTGCTTATAATAATTTTGAATTTGTGATTGCATAGTCCTTTGATAGGAATATTTGCAAATTGATTTCCTATTGCCATATATAGAATATAGATCTTTCCATTTTTTAAAATGAAATATCTATCCACTTCCACTTGTTTGATATGCTTGTGTTGGATTGAATTATGAGCTATGCTAATGACATATGTATTGCCACAATATATCTTCTTTGGCCTGTACCATTTGATTTTAAATCTTTAAAAATAATTTTGATTCGGAGAAGCTTGTAGATTAATTGAGCAATATCTCTAAATTTTGACTCAATGTTAAATCTTGAAACAATAGTTGGTTTTTTCCTACATATTAGTAGATTTTTTCCCAAGAATAATATGTGCCTTGATGGGGATCTTCTATCCACTGTTGATTTTGCATAGTTTGCATTAATATACCTTTCAATTTATAAAGTATTCTTCTTTTTATAGAGAATTCTTTTACCATCACTTAATTTAAGATTTTTTTAGAATTTTATAACCAGCTTGAAGTTGATACTCTTTGGATTTGTGCATGAATTAACTGATGAAACTCATTACAAATGCGATGCATAGATAAGAGGATTGATGGATGATACTTTTATTCTATAAAAAAGGTGTTAATATGTGATTAAAGTAATTACGAGCATTATCAATTCAAAATATCTTGATGTTAGCATTTTATTATTTTGTATCATGGCAGTGAAAATGCGTTGAATAATGTTGATATTAGATTTTTTATTAATGAGATATACTTGCTTTCAAGTGCAGTCATCGATGAAGGATTTTCAGATGTGTTGGGGATTTTGAATGGCCCTCAAATATCAGAGTGAAGAATTAGATAAGGATTAGAGGATTTATAATCACTTTTAGAAAAAAAAAAATCGAGATAATGTTTGGTAATTTCACTATTCTCTCAATAAATTTTTTACCATGTTTACATTCAAAATAGAAAAAGAAAATAAACATACATTATAGGATTTTGAAAGAGAGATGCCTTAGCCTATAATGATGTTTCCAAATGAGTTTTATATTAAAGGTAGGAATGAAGAAAGATGACAAGTGAATTTTGTCTTTAATATGATATAGCCCATCATTTTTTCTATCTTGCTTAATCGTCTTCCTTCTAGTGAGGTCATAGGAAACACAATGATTAAAAAAAAGTTGTCTTGCAGTTGTTGTCTTTAGTAATTTTATGGGTTGATAGAAGATTTACTGCAAGATCCAGGAAAATGTAATGCATCACTAAGGATAAATGTGGATAAAATTGAAATTTGTCCTTGACATACAATAGTTATTGAACTATGGGCACTTTTATTCTTCTGTTGTTAGGTAGGGATTATAAGTTCCAAAAATGTTAGTAAGTTTGGTCATATGGTCAATGGCTCTTGAATCTAGAATCCAGGTGTGAGGGAAAATATTTAAGGCACTGAAAATACAAGAGTTATAAAGTCATATCATTTTAAATTGGAGAGTATGATCCGAATAATTTTTTAAAAGAGTTGAGTTCTTGTGTTTGTCAATTTTATTTATATTGAGCTCTTCTGATTCAACAAGGAGTATACTTTTTAGTGGCCTTTTTTTTTCACCATAGCTTGGCTATTTTTGGTGGTGTTTTCAATATAATTTTTTGATGTGTCTTTTGATTCTTGCAATAATTACACCATAGATTATTTTTGGAAGAAGGTTTGTCGTTCTTTAAGAAAAGAGTCTATCAATAAATCCCTTACCTTGAGATTCGATTGTTTTCATGATGGATACAAGAGTGTCGAGCATTACCATCCTTTCTTATTATGCTAGTATGAGAGAAAAAATCTCATTTAATGATTGTAGGATTTCTCTTCTTAAGATTTGAATGCAAACTTGGTCGATATCATATTGAGTCTTGTAAAGAACTCAAACACTCTTTCTTTTTCTGCAAATTACTTGAGAATTACCACATCATTGCAACATATCTTCTTGAGATTTGGTAATAATCAATTTAAGCTAAGAAGCCTTAATTGCATTAAAGTACTCATTAACAGGAAAGCCAGCTTGCTTGGTTGTTAAAATCTTTGTTTTGATCTCATAATTGAGGGCAACATGCTTCATTTTTTAGTTTGTATGATGGCATATCACCTTCTTTTGTGATAGAGAGAAACATATATGCCCCACTAATTTCAAGCATAATGGTGTTTCACATGTTGTCTATATGCATAATGCAATCGATGAGAGTTAATGCGACAAAAAGGATGATTCATGAACACAAGGTCGCATGTGACGAGTTTGAAGTGCCTCGATTGTAGTCAGAATTACTCAAACATTATATATTTGTGAAACAGGTTGCATCGAGGTGTTCAGCGCATAAAATTTATTATGAAGGATCCTCTCGCATGCAAGACGACAAAGAGACAATGTGTACGACGATGGGTAGCCACTACATTGCGTAAAATCATCCAAAATGATGTTTGATCATGAAACGAACTAAGTCGTTCATCCAACACATTAAATTTACCCAAAGGAAGACCTCTCACCATCAATTCAAGCAGAGGTGATCGAAAACGACAGACTACGAGTGACACAACAAAAGGTAACCTTGCACAACCTAGCAGCAGTGGGCCGCACCCAGCTCGCCAAGCCTCTCTGTTGACCTGCTGTGTAACAAAAAGAAAAAAAAAAGAAAAAGAAAATCCAAATCTTACCTACTCCCTGCAGCCCCACGTCGCGCCTCGCACGACTGCCTCTGTCGTCGCCACTCCTCGCACGACTCGACGTCGCCTCACACACGATCGCTCGCACGACTTGGCGTCGTTAAAAGCGAACGAGGAAGAGGCCTTCGGCCTCCTCTCGCGATCCTCTCTCGCAAAAATCCCCTCTCGCGATCTCGCTGCCTCTGCTCCCTCGTTCGACTTCTCCCTCCGATCTCCTCCCCAAGCCGAGCTCGTCTCCTCCTGTCGGGCTTGATCCCGATTCTCTTCCGTCCACAGAGAGAGAGAGAGAGAAAGAGAGAGAGAGGAGTTGAGATCCTCACCTGAAGCCGGTCTCTATATTCCTCCTCCGACCCCGTCGTGGTCGTCCGACTTTGCTCCCATCAACGACTTTCCATTCCTGCGGGATTGGAAGTTACGACATTTTTGATCGGAGGCAACAACGTGAGCTCGCTTGCTGAGAAAGGTAACTTTCTCTCTTTTGCGTTCTTCTTCAGCCAAATCCCGGAAATCAGCCGAACCAAGGGATTTGGTAAATTCGGGATTTAAGCCGTGAATCCTTAAATCCGAGATTTACCCATCTCTGGGATTTAACGCATGCACCAAAAAAAATGATACTATTTATATTAATTTTAATTAGCTGTAATTAATATTAATTAATTAAGCTAATTATAATTTAATTATTTTTTAATTATAGTTAATTAAAAATTATTTCCAATTAATTGTAATTAATTAAATTTAATCATAATTAATTAGATTATTTTTAAT